TCTTCCCCACTGAAAACTTCCACTGAAAACTTCCACCTATCAATCTCTTCCCACAGAATGCAAATGGTTCTTGGACCAAGGAAAATATCTCCTTCCAGCCTCAAAGGCCCATTCTATTCTATCGTCATTTCATAACCTCTTCCATGTAGGTTACAAGCCACTAGCCCGCCTCTTAGAACCTCTCATTTCCTTTCCCTCATGGAAATCTATCCGGAAGGAAATCACTTCTCAGTGTTCCATCTGCTATTCTACTACTCCTCAGGGATTGTTCAGGTCCCCTCCCTTCCCTACACATCAAGCTCAGGGATTTGCCCCCGCCCAGGACTAGCAAATTGACTTTACTCACATGCCTCGAGTCAGGAAACTAAAATACTTCTTGGTCTGGGTAGACACTTTCACTGGATGGGCAGAGGCCTTTCCCACAGGGTCTGAGAAGGCCACCGTGGTCATTTCTTCCCTTTTGTCAGACATGATTCCTCAGTTTGGCCTTCCCACCTCTATATAGTCTGATAACAGATTGACCTTTACTAGTCAAATCACCCAAGCATTTTCTCAGGCTCTTGGTATTCAGTGGAACCTTCATACCCCTTATCATCCTCAATCTTCAGGAAAGGTAGAACGGACTAACGGTCTTTTAAAGACACACCTCACCAAGCTCAGACTCCAACTTAAAAAGGACTGGACAGTACTTTTACCTTTTGCCCTTCTCAGAATTAGAGCCTGTCCTTGAGATGCTATAGGATACAGTCCATTTGAACTTTTATATGGACACACTTTCTTACTCGGCCCCAACCTTGTCCCAGACACCATTCCTCTAGGCAACTATCTTCCAGTCCTCCAGCAGGCTAGATAGGAAATTCGCCAGGCTGCTAATCTTCCCTTGCCTACTCCAGATTCCCCGCCATATAAAGACACCCTAGCTGGACCATCAGTTCTTGTCAAGAATCTGACCCCTCAAACTCTACAGCCTCGATGGACCGGACACTACTTAGTCATCTATAGTACCCCAACTGCTGTCCACCTGCAGGACCCTCCCCCATTGGGTTCACCATTCCAGAATAAAGCTGTGTCCATCAGACAGACAGCCTGATATCTCCTCTTCCTCCTGGAAGTCACAAGTACTCTCCCCTACTTCCCTTAAACTCACTCACATTTCTGAAGAACATAATAACCCTTATGAGCCTAATACATCCCTTCATTCTATTAGGTCTATTAATCCTTACCCTACTCTTTGTGACAGGGCTTTACGCAGTCGCCCCCACTACTTGGACTATACCCCAAAAACTTGTCATCCCTACTTTATTCTGTCTAGTCATACTCCTATTCACCATTCTCAACTATTCATAAATTACCTGCTCTTGTTTTGTTTACAATGCCGGTTTATATTGTTTCTCCAAGCCATCACAGCTGATATCTCCTGGTGCTATCCCCAAACTGTCACTCTTGACTCCCTCTTGGAGTGGACAGATGATCCTTGGTGGCAGGGCACCCTCCAATACTTCCACCCTGATGAAGTTATATTCTTTACTTTTATACTCACTGTTACATTCTTATGCCACTCTCTACCTCTCCCTAGTTACCTCCAGCATACTATCAATCTCACCCACTCTCTCCTCACTGCCTCCAATCCTTCTCTAGCACAGAATTGTTGGCTATGCGTTTCCCTTTCTTCCTGCACTTACACAGCCATCCTTGCTCTACAGGCTGACTGAGCTACCTCTCCCGTCAACCTGCACCCCAGAACCTCCTTTAATAGCCCTCATCTTTACCCGCCTGAGGCACTTCTTTACTTTCTAGACAGATTTGGTGAGAACTCCCCACACATTTCACACCAACAAGCTGCCACACTTCTCCGCACCTACTTACGGCACTTTTCTCCTTATGTCAATTCCACACCCCCCATATTTGGACCCCTAACCACACAAACAACTATCCCTGTTGCCGCTCCTTTATGCATCTCCCAACAACAGCCTGCTGGAATCCCTTTAGGCAACCTTCCACTGTCCAAATGTTCCTTTACTCTTTATCTCCAGAACCCAGCCACACATATTACCAAACACATGGGAGCATTCCAGCTTCACATGACTGATAAGCCCTCTATCATTACTGACAAACTCAAAAACATTGGCAGTCACTATTGTTTAGGAAGACACCTACCCTGCATCTCACTCCATCCTTGGCTACCCTCCCCCTGCTCGTCTCAGTCTCCTTCTGGCCCCTCCTCTTGCTGGCTTATACCCAGCCCCATGAATAGTAGTGAAAGGCTACTCGTAGATACTATGTGCTTTCTTGTACACCATGAGAACCGAACCCCTCCCTCTATGCAGTTGCACCATCAATCCCCATTACAACCTCTAACGGCTGCTGCCCTTGCTGAAGCTCTAGGATTTGGGGTGCAGGACTACTCTGTCAGGACACCCTCTCACCTTTTCACTTTACATTTCCAGTTCTGCCTGACACAAGGTCTCTTCTTTTTATGTGGCTCTTCCACCTACATGTGCCTCCCTGCCAAATGGATGGACACATGTACTCTAGTCTCCTTACCCCCAAAATCCAGTTTACAGACGGGAATGAACAAGTGCCTGTCCCTCTCATGACACCAACATGACAAAAAAGAGTCATCCCACTGATCCCTTTACTTGTGGGTCTAGGGCTTTCTGCCTCCACTATTGCACTCGGAACTGGAATAGCAGGCATCTCAACCACTGCCACAACATTCCGCAGCCTCCCTAATGACTTCTCTGCTAGCGTTACAGACATATCACAAACTTTATCTGTTCTCCAAGCCCTGATTGACTCTTTAGCTGCAGTTGTCCCCCAGAACTACTGAGGCCTCTTCTTCACTGCTGGAAAAGGAGGACTCTGTATATTTTTAAATGAAGAGTGTTGTTTTTACCTAAATCAATCTGGCCTGGTATATGACAACATAAAAAAACCCAAGGATAGAGCCCAAAAACTTGCCAACCAAACAAACAATAACGTTGAACCCCTTGGACACTCTCTAACTGGACATCCTGGGTATTCCCAATTCTTAGTCCTTTAATACCTATTTTTCTCCTTATTTTATTCAGACCTTGTGTCTTTCATTTAGTTTCTCAATTCATACAAAACTGCATCTAGGCCATTACCAATAATTCTATACAACAAATACTCCTCCTAACAACCCCACAATATCACCCCTTACCCCCAAATTTTTCTTCAGTTGAGTATCTCCCACTGTAGGTTCCCACACCGCCCCTAATCCCGCTCGAAGCAGCCCTGAGAAACATCACCCATTATCTCTCCATACCACCCCCAAAATTTTTTGCTGCCCCAACACTTCAACACTATTTTGTTTTGCTTTTCTTATTAATATAAGAAGATAGGAATGTCAGGCCTCTGAGCCCAAGCTAAGCCATCACATCCCCTGTAACCTGCATGTATACATCCAGATAGCCTGAAGCAACTGAAGATCCACAAAAAAAGTGAAAATAGCCTTAACTGATGACATTCCACCATTGTGATTTGTTCCTGCCCCCACCCTGATACATATATTCTCCTCTGCCCTTAAGAAGGTACTTTGTAATATTCTCCCCCACAACCCCCGCCACCCCGCCACCTTTAAGAAGGTAGTTTGTATGCCTATCCCAAACTCATAAGAACTAATGATAATCCCACCACCCTTTGCTGACTCCTTTTTTGGACTCAGCCCACCCATACCCAGGTGAAATAAACAGACTTGTTGCTCACACAAAGCCTGTTGGACTCTATTCACACGGACATGCATGACAATCTTTACCTGTCAAAAATAGTTTATAGAAACTGTAATCCTTGTTAGATTCTTCAAATGTACAGGCACAGGGCTGCTTCAGAGACCACAGCTGAGGCCAAGATCTGCAGGCCTGCCTCCAGGGCCACAGCTTCCTTAACATATTACTGGAAGTTTCTTTCAAAACAATTGGGCAAGGAAAAGGAGAGCAAAGCTCTCCAGCTTGAAAAAGTAGTAAAAATGTTACTGTTTGTAGATAATATGATCATGCATATATATCTATAAAACCCTTGAGTAAAATAACAAAAACTGTTTGAACTAATAAACGCATTCATTAACGTATCAAGATACATAATCAACATACAAATACTTGTGTTTTTTTTGTTTTTTGTTTTTTGTTTTTTTTTTGAGACAGGTCTCACTATGTTGTCCAGACTCATCTCAAACTCCTGTCCTCAAGTGATCCACCTGCCTTGGACTCTGAAAGGGCAGGGATTACAGAAATGAGACACTGCACCTGGCCCAACATACAAATATTTTTTGCATTTCCATATAGTAGCAACAAACTTTCCAAAAAAAGAAACAATTTCCACTTGCAATAGCATAAAAATAAGAAATTTAATTAAAATAAATTTAACCAATAAAAAAATTATACATTAAGTAAAATAAGATTGATGACAGAAATTGAAGTAGACACAAATAAATGGAAACATATTCCATTAGGATAACTAACACTGTCAAGATATCATATTACCCAAAATGATCTATAGATTCAACGTGATCCCTATCGAAGTTTTAGTGGCATTTTTCACAGTAATAGAAAACACAATTGTAAAATTTAAGTGTAACCTTAAAGAACTTTAAATAACCTGAGCAATCTTGAGAAAGAACAATGCTGGGGTATCCTACTCTCTAACTTCAAATTTTATTTAAAAGTTATAATAATCAAGAGTATGGTATATGCATAAAGACAAATACAAAAACCAATGGAACAAAATAGGGGGCCCAGAAACAAAACCAGAATACAAGGTCAACCAATCTTTGACAAGGCCACTAAGAATATCCAATGCAGAAAATACTGTCTTGTCAATACATGGTGCCAGAAAAACTGGGTACCCACCAGTGAAAGAATAAAAGTAGAATATTTTCTTACACCATACCCCAAAATTAACTCAAAATGAAAGACTTAAATGTAAGACATAAAACCTTAAAACTCCTGAATAAAACATATTAAAAAAAAAAAAAAAAAAACCTTTGTTGATATTGGTCTTGGCATTAACTGTTTTGATATGACGTCGAAAGCACAGCAACAAATAATACAAACAAGTGGGACTGCATCAAATCCAACAGCTTCTGCACAGCAAAGAAAAAAAATTTTTAAACACTACAACACAGGAAAATATTTGCAAGCCATATATCTAACAAGACGTTAATAACCAAAACATATAAAAAACTTCTAGAATTCAAAGCAAAACAATAATAACCCATTCAAAAATAGACAAAAGGTTACTTTTTTTCCCACTGAAGACATACATACAAGGGAAATCTGTATGCTGTTGGTGAGATGTAAATAAATAAAGTCATCATAAAAACCAGTAAAAAATAAAAATAGAAATATCATATAATCCAGCAATACCACTTCTGGGCATCCTACCAAAGGAAATAAAATTTGTATCTTGAAGAAATATCTTCAGCCCTATGTTCACTGTAGTATTGTTTACAATAGCCAAAATATGGTGTGTGTGTATATACAGAGTAGAATATTATTTAGCCATAACAGAAGGAAATCTAGCCATTGACAACATGGACAGACCTGGAGGACATTATGCTAAATGAAATAAGCCAAACACAGAAAGACAAAGAAACCGCTTGTTTTAAGGTAGATGAGAAATCGAAAAAATCAACTCATGGAAACAGAGTGTAGAATGGTGGCTGTTAGTGTCTGAGGGTGGAATATGAGGAGATGTTGTTCAAAGAGTATAAATTTTTAGTTATAAGTTAAGTAAGTCTGAGAAATCTAATGTAAATTAGCATTAGATTAGCCAAATAGCATTGTCTTTAGTTAGTAATACTGTAATGTATGCTTAGAATTTGCTTTTTTTTTTTTTTCTTTCCTGAGATGGAGTCTCACTCTGTTGCCCTGGCTGGAGGTGCAGTGGCATGATCTCAGCTCACTGCAACCTCTGCCTGCCAGGTTCAAGCAATTCTCCTGCCTCAGCCTCCTGAGTAGCTAGGATTACAGGTACATGTCACCACACCCGGCTAATTTTTGTATTTTTAATAGAGACAGGTTTCACCATGTTGGCCAGGCTGGTCTTGAACTTCTGACCTCATGATCCACCCACCTCAGCCTCCCAAAGTAGTAGGATTACAGGCGTGAGCCACTGTGTCCGGCCTACAACAGTAGATCTTTTTTTTTTTTTTTTTTTTTGAGACGGAGTCTTGCTCTGTCGCCCAGGCTGGGGTGCAGTGGCTGGATCTCAGCTCACTGCAAGCTCCGCCTCCCGGGTTTACGCCATTCTCCTGCCTCAGCCTCCCGAGTAGCTGGGACTACAGGCGCCCGCCACCACGCCCGGCTAGTTTTTGTTGTATTTTTTAGTAGAGACGGGGTTTCACCGTGTTAGCCAGGATGGTCGCGATCTCCTGACTTTGTGATCCGCCCGTCTCGGCCTCCCAAAGTGCTGGGATTACAGGCGTGAGCCACCGCGCCTGGCCATACAACAGTAGATCTTAAGTGTTCTTACTACAAAAAAAATTTGAGGTAATAGATATGTTCATCAACTTGACTGTATTTTGTTTCACAATGTACATGCATATCAAATCATTATATTCTACACATTAAATATATAGTTATACCATTTTTATGTATCAGAAAAATCCATGTCACACAAACACAGATGTACAGTAAGTCCTCACTTAATGTTCAAAATAGGTTCTTGAAAACTGCATCGTTAAATAAAACAATGTTGTCATATGCCATTCAAACATAACCCTTGTTTCTATCAAGTAAACTATGGTAATTCCACCTCCTGGGTTCAAGTGATTCTCCTGCCTCAGCCTCCTGAGTAGCTAGGATTACTAGTGCATGCCACTACGCCCAGCTGATTTTTTGTATTTTTAGTAGAGATGGGGTTTCACCATGTTGGCCAGGCTGATCCGGAACTCCTGACCTTGTGATTTGCCCACCTCAGCCTCCCAAAGTGCTGGGATTACAGGTGTTAGCCACCATGCCCAGCCAAAATTAGTTTTTTTAAACAATATGTTGCTTCATTTACAGTTTCCATGAACCTATCAACAATGTTAAGTGAGAATTTACAATACACATCTATAACTTATATAGATGTGCATATGTGTGAGACCCACATTTTTATATATAGATAGATCTCAATAACAGAATCCCAGTAGGCTTCTTACTAAAATTGTAAGATAATAGTTATTAAAGAATAATATATACTTAACAATGTTCTAAGCTGGTTTATGACAGTACATTTAAGAAATCTAGAAGGTGAGTAGGTACTTTAATCAAGTGGTGTCCAACCCTATGAATGTAAGAACATTTTGCTTATCTGTTGTGGTAGATATCATAAAAATTATTCACGAACTTTTTTTTTTGTAAAGCTCATCAGGTATCATTAGTGTTAATGTATTTTATGTGTGACCCAAGACAATTCTGCTTCTAATGTGGCCCAGGGAAGCCAAAAGGTTGGAAACCCATGCTTTAAACTATATTATAACTTGAAAATTTACACATACAGAGTTTAAATTACAAATCTTAGTTTATACTAAAACAATAACATTTTAAAGTACAATCAACATTACATTTTTCATATTTAAGGAAAATGCTTATTGTTCTGAAAAAATTGCTAGGAAAGAATTTTTGTAGAATTACATTTATAATAGGATTAAAAATCAGTAAGCAGAAAATCTGCAACATCTGTCCCTGGTGTTCCTGGGATTTCTGAACCAAATCCCAATATGTCCACTACTTGCCTTACACATTTAGGCATGAAACAAAATCAATATTTGAAAAAAAATATGTTATTTTAGACATGATGCTAAAACAATGTCTGAAAAAAATAAATTAACATAGGGCTCCTCAATAACACAAATATTCCTATGTCTGCAAAAGCAATGGAACAGCAGTCAGATCGTGCAGCCCTTATAAGTGATAAAGTGGACACTGTCTCTCCATGTAATCTTGAAAGGAGATCACTAAAAAGAGAATTCTTAGAAGATTTAACAGCATGGGACCGAAGATGCCCCTATTTGTGAACATGAGAAGAAAATGCAGCCTTGTCAGAAATTATTTTGATTGGAGAAGAACTTCTCAAACTACATTTTAAGGCCTGGCTTCCTTCTTCACCTTTGGTCCCCTTGCCTGTGTCATCTCCTTCATTCACTCTCACCCACCTGGGGCTTTGGCTACTGTCTCATGAGTCTTCCCATTAAAGGGCTCTTTCCTTTGTTCCAGACAGGTGACCAGGTCTGAGTTAAAGAGAGCAACACCTGTTTTATTAAAAAAAAAAAAAAATTAACATGACTATTGCTGGGGATTCTCCAATTACCAACCTAGTACTATGCTAAGCAGAAAAAATAAATTATGGAAGATTCTAAAAAACTAATCCAAAAATTGTTTCCTTAAAGAATCTTCAGAATATTTAAGTATTTTAAATCTGTGGGTTCTAAGTTCCACTACCCAGTACTACTGAATCAAATATAAGTGATGCAAATTGGATTTTAAGATGTGGAAAACAGGGCCGGGCGCGGTGGCTCAAGCCTGTAATCCCAGCACTTTGGGAGGCCGAGACGGGCGGATCACGAGGTCAGGAGTTCGAGACCATCCTGGCTAACACGGTGAAACCCCGTCTCTACTAAAAAATACAAAAAACTAGCCGGGCGAGGTGGCGGGCGCCTGTAGTCCCGGCTACTCGGGAGGCTGAGGCAGGAGAATGGCGTAAAAACCCGGGAGGCAGAGCTTGCAGTGAGCTGAGATCCGGCCACTGCACTCCAGCCTGGGCGACACAGCGAGACTCCGTCTCAAAAAAAAAAAAAAAAAAAAGATGTGGAAAACAGTATTTAATAAAACTGAATTTCTAGAATTAGCACTAATCTAGAGTGAAGGACACAAAATTAGCTCAAGAGAAGGTTTAGGTAAAGATGAAACATCTTAAAGATTTTATTTTTTACACCAGAAAATTCCCAATTTTTTCATGAAGAAAAAAATTAATTCACGCAAAGCAGAAGCTCCCAAGAGACGTAAAAAGGAAAAAAATAAAACTCTGAGGGAGCGTGAGCAATTATGTATTAAAGTTATCCTCATCCAGGGAATCAGGTTTCTGTAGTTCTTCAACATCACATCTGTATATAAATTCTGCTGGGCAGGGTCCAGACATTTCCACTCTTCTGGGGAGAATTTTATGACCATATCCCTGAATGTTAAGAGTTCCTGAAAACACGTATCAAAGGACAGAGTTCTTAAATTGACTATAGGAGAAATGAGTTATATGAGCTAGTTCTGACTTAATGGGACTGACTGTATTCATCTGATAAAATAACTCTCAAAACAGTAATGTTCTCTAAAGTGTTCCATAACTCTGAGGAAAAAGGATGGCATTTGTCAGGAATGGGTATTCGGTGTCACCAAAAAACAACACTGGGACAAAGGATCTCTTAGCAAGGTTAATTTACTTTCTGTAGATAGGGTGCTGCTCACTAGCAGTCTTGCCTTGAGCGCACACTCGAAAAAAGGAGGCAGGGTTATTTATAACCTGATGCATCCACCCTATGGCTGTGTCCAGTTTCCATTGGCTGGAACAGGACCTTACATTTTGTCCTTGTCCCGACTGGCTAGCAATTTAGAACTTCCCAAAAGAGGGGAAGGCAGAGGAGAATAAAGGAAAAGAGGAAGTAACTTGTGGAATGCTGAGGAAGGCCAAAAACACCTCCAAATAAGGAAGAGGAAGGGGCTATAAACTCATGCTTGCTTGGACCTGCTTAGGTATGGCAGGGCAAATATCTTAGGCTAAAATGTGGGAGCTAAGAATATAAAGTACGTTGATTTCTTTATTATGGTTAGCAGATATTTAAGAATATTAGCACAAGTATTTGAGTAAATTTTGCTTCTAAAAGAGGTTACTATTTATTCTCAATTAGACTGGGAGGAAAGTCCCTTTGAAGAGAAAGCTGTACTTGATTTTCTACAGCATGCCAGCAATTTCTGTTGCTACCGTGGAAATACGGGCTACACTGACCTGCCCTTATGAAAACCAAGCAAAGTAGGTCCTGTGACCTCCTGGAACAAAGGGTGTACTCACCCCTCATTAAAGTGTCTGGAAGCCTTCATGCTTGACCCCGGCAAATCATGTTTTAATTTAAAAAACAGGAATGTTTCCATCCAGAATAGACAGGATCTGTGGGGAGGAAACAAGTGACTGTTTCTCTTCAAACAGTCCATGTGATCCTATTAGAAGACTGGGCTGAGAGTCACTTAGCTAAGCACAGGCTTTCAAACTTCAATGTGCGTATAAATTATTTGCTATTCTAGGCCTTACTGTAAGTAACAAAATTCTGCAGGTTTGAAAACGGTCCATGAATTATATAGATTCTTATAGAAGTCTCCTGTTAATGCTGATACTCCTCCCCCTAGATCCATTATAGTACCGCTCAGCTAGAGAAAGCAGGCACAGCACACAGGGTCCCTTACCCCAACACAAATACTTTTCATCTGAAGACAAGACCACTAGTTATCTCCTGAAACAGGGCATTCTCTGCAAGCCCTTCAACGGTTACAGAGGCTGGAGATGGTGGCAATGTCTAAGTCTGCATTTGAAAACATGTGCACATGCATTAATGTGATCTTTACGAAGCATGTACTATGTGTGCAGGAGTATGTCACAGAGCACTGTGCTGGAAAGCTCACATTATGTGTGTTAATTCTCATAACATCCTGGGAGGTGGGTACTAAGTGTCCCATAATTCCTAGGATTTAAATGCAGGGCCCGGCATTTCTATTTCTTTTTGTTTTCCTATGATTGATTTTTTTAGAAATGTATAGAATAGTTCAATATAGACAGATGGGAGAGAAACAGAAAGGAAGTGTTAAGTGCGATTCAGAGGAATTTTTTATTTTTGTATTTGTATTTACTTTGAGAATTGTGGAAAAAAAAACAACAAAACTAAAACTATAGGGCTGGAGAACAGATTGCTAGATAAGATGTCTCTGGAAACACTGGTTTTAATTTTATAAAAAAGAAATTAAGGCACAGAAGTATATTGCTTTTCTCTATTTATCTGCTTTTGGGTTTCAGGAAATTGGGAGCACCAGCTCTGCAGAGGCAGCAGGAGTAGCCACCCCAAATTCTGATCTCCTCTAAGCAGTTCTCTTAGAGATTTCAATGTGGGGTCAGATCTGGACAAGATTCAGCAGAGGGTGGATCCGGGCAGGGTTGGGATAGAAGGTGGGCCCTAGGCTTCTGCTCTCTAGGCCACTAAGTATTTTCAGTTTTGTTTTTTCTAAGCCTGCCCAAGAGAAATTTTATTCCCAGAGCTTGTGAAATTTTAATCTGCTTTCACCACTTCCCTGTCTATACTACAACATACAAGAAGAAGGAACTTAACCAAAATCCTTATTTTTTTCTAGACCAATTATATTAGAAGCCAAATACTTATTATTAGCAAGCTAAAAACAATACCAATAATAACAACAACAACAAATTCTCTTCAGTCCATGAATAGCCCTTCAGGTGGAGGCATCAAAACTCACAGAACAATAAAAGGGAAGTAACCCAAATGAAGCTTAAGTCTCCTGTACAGTTTCCGTCTTTGTGCTCCAGACTGCAAGTTACTTGATGGTAGGGACCATGACTGGTTCATCTCTTTTTCTAATGATCATACGAAATAGAAGCAATTACTTTTTGATCAGTTTGAGTCTCCAGATTGCCTCATTTTCATCAAGGAACCAAAAAAACTGGAACAACTCTTCTCTGTTATGAACCAAGAAGATTCTTTCTGTGAGGGGAGGAACAAACCCTGGATAAGTCATTTCTCTTTCTCTGAAATGGAACCAGAATTAGACCTTGTTGTCAGACTGACCCCAGTCTGCACAGAACATCCTCAAATATCTCAAATAACTCACTGATACTGGTGAGAGTGTCCTCAGTGACCCTGGGCTAAAGCCCCCATAGTGATCTAGACAGGAGAGACTTGGGCTGACTTTGTGGAGTGCAAACAGAAAACGGAACTGCCCTGGCAGAGCTGCAGATTCTGGATCTAGATGTGATATGCACTGTCCCTGATCAGCTAACTCTGAGACAAGAGGAAAGATGAAAGTACTCCAGTACCCCAGTATACAAGATGGCATACTAGTGATTATGGTTGTGATTATGGCTCTGGATATTTTGTGGCCCTGACCTCCCACTGCTAAGGTGCTTGTTTACACTTACAGATTTTGCCACAGGATTCTGTTCACACCAGAAGCCTCTCACATAGTTGTACCAGGTGACTACTAGACAAGACCTGGAAAACTCAAAGGGCTCCATGCTGAAAGTGGGGTTTAAGATGTCTATGTTGACCTCTCATGATGCAGAAAGTAACTTCTGTGAGTTTTCTGTATGTCTTCAACCCGAAGTCTGGCCGTATCTTGTGAATCTTAGGCAGAAGCCAGCTTTTATGTGCAGATTCTAGGTGGGATCAATGTGCCTCTGCATTCTTGGGGATTACAGCAAACAGAGTAAAACCAGAGGCAGCCTTTCACGGAGGCTCCTTCAATACATTCTGAAGAATATTTTGACCTGAAAGGAAAAAGCTGGGGTAAACATAAGTAGAGAATTTATTTGGGCCAAACTTGAAGATTACCACCTTGCAGTATAAAGCTGACTTGAATATACATACTCCAATTAGAAGCAGTTACAAGTGTATTTTTAAAGGCAAAAAAGAAAGCAGAGAGGGGACTGATACAAAGTTGTCAGACCTTCCTATTGGTTTATAGAAGTAACATTGGTTAGTGGCTGGCTATATATATTGTTAAGTCATAGAGTGTGGGTTATAGTGTCCACTGTGGTATTATTAGGTTAATTTATAGCCACTGGTGGCAATACCAAGGAATTTCAGAAAACAAATAGTTCAAAGAGGGGAAGAGTAGGACTGCGGTCTCATTTTAACAAGTCTCTGGGTCTGATAATTAAAAGAACTTGTTATCTCTCAGACAAAAGTGCCATTCTTCTCTCAAATCCCAGGACATAAATTCAGAATTTGGAACTGCACATTTAGGTCTTGGAAGGCTGGTAAGCTATGCACATTTGTGGGCATTTGGGCAAGGGGAGAAGAGAGAGAATTGATGTTCTCTGGTTTAATTAATGCACTTATGTGATCCTGGTTGGGTTTATGGACCCCATGATGTCTGAACCAGCATCAAATCTGAAGATGCCAGGAGCACTGAAGGAAATGGAATAACTGATTGCTGTCCTGAAAAGTTATTTTTGTAGAAATCTAGTCTAACTGCTTTAGAAGTGACTGTAGATTCTAAATAGACTCTTTTTTTGTTGGTTTTTTTCTTTTTTGAGATGGTGTCTCACTGTGTCGCCGAGGCTGGAGTGCAGTCGTGTGACCTCGGCTCACTGCAAGCTCCGCCTCCCAGGATCACGCCATTCTCCTGCCTCAGCCTCCTTAGTAGCTGAGACTACAGGCGCCCGCCACCATGCCCAGCTAACTCGTTGTATTTTTAGTAGAGACAGGGTTTCACGGTGTTAGCCAGGATGGTCTCAATCTCCTGACCTCCTGATCTGCCCGCCTCGGCCTCCCAAAGTGCTGGGATTACAGGCGTGAGCCACCGCGACCGGCTAGAGCGACTATTTTGTTTGCAGCTTTGGGGAGCACTTTGCTGCACTTTGTGTACTTTGCCACAAAATTGTGGATCGTGACTGGACTCCTTAGAAAAAAGGTTTTCTCTCAAGTGAAACCTAGTTGGCGTCTTGTATATAAATCTGGTCATTCTGAACAGTGTGGTAACTATAACTAAAAGCAAAACCATCTCCAATCCTAAAATACTCTCCACAATAACAGAACAGCTAGAAAATGTTCTGTTATTTAATTATACCAAAATATGGTATGCACCACAGGCAATCAACTAATAGATTGCAAATACAGAAAGAACATCACCATAATTAGTTCTCAAGACATGACAGCACCATTTGTCATACAGTCTATGTCACCTAGTAATTTGAGAGGTCATCTGGGTTTTCTAATTGGTAACATTCAACAACAAAAAAACTTCCTATATCTTCTTGATACGACGTAGTTTTGAAATGTCGCGCCAAGTACCTGCTGAAGGCAGCCCCCTACTCTCCTACAAAAACTGTGTCCTTAGGGTATATATTCTTGCTATTTATATTTCAAGGCAGTAGTTTCTAGGTCCTAGATACAGACAATTTTCAGTCGAAAAAGACAAATGACCTAGTTAACTGATAAAAATGATTTATATGTTTTTCAAAGAAGCACAGAAAATATTTAAATATAAAAGTTTTCCAATTAAATGCTTTAAGAAAAGGAAGAAGAGCAATAATTTGTATTTGGTCCTACAACAGCCTGGTCTAAAGACATGGTCTTGAACTTACTAACGTCCGAATTCTTGTAGGCACCTGAGGGACGGACTTGGGGACACTGTACACAGCAAAGCGGATTTGTGGGGAAGGAAAGAGCAGGAGTTCTAGAGAAAGGTGCCATCAAGAGCCTCAGGTGGGGGCAAGGCAGGACTGACTAAAGCACTGGTTTGTGTTACAAGTGCAGGCCAAAGCAGGGCTATGCTCTGATTCTTGAGTCCATAAGGGCAGAACGGATTAGGATCAGGTGGTCTAGAAGACTGGGTGGTGAAGAAAACCGATTCCTGCTACAGATTTGGGGTTAACATGAGCTAGGAGTCTTCTGGGCACTTTGTGTGTTCTCAGGAGAAACCTATAGGAGCAAAGCTGCCAATGGGCACAATTTCTCAGGGTAGAACCCTATCCTGGGAGGAGTGTGGCCATGCGAATGCCCGGTGGGCATGCTCAGGAGTGGGTTAGCATTGGGTGGCAGCAGGCAGCAGGGTGCGGGGACGGGATATTTCTCAGAACTCCTTTCCTCCAAGTTCTCAATCCCCTCTCTCCTCCCGAGGAGACCTGGAGGAACAGGACAGTGCCCAGCAGGACCGCGCATGTGCAGAACCCAGTGGCGCCTCCCGCAGACACCAGGCGACTCCCTCCAGGCCAGGCTCAGCCATGTCTTTCTTCTGACAGAAAACCTAAGGAGTTTCCTCAACACCCGTCAATGCTCCAACCCCAACGGGCTGTCCAGCAACTCACTAACGACCCCACCCAGAGTCAGCGCAGACCCACAAGCTCAGCGCTCTTCCCACAACTGCCCCCCTGCAGACGCCAGTCCCTGCCTCTGGACACCCGTCTTCATTTCTGAACGTCTGCAACAAACCAGGGGCGCCCACACCCTCCTCAAGTTCCATAATGTGGCAGAACCACTCACAGAACCCAGCGAAGCGCTGTGCGCATGACACCAGCGTATTCTAAAAGATGCCGCTCAGGAACAGCCACGCGGAGGCGGCGCTCAGGGCAAGGGGACTGGTGGGAAAGTTGTGGCGGGCGGGTGAATGGCTTCCCTTCCTCACACACCTCACAAAAGCCTTTCCTTCAAGACCAACTGGCAGCCCCCAAACCACGAGCCATGGCCGGCGCTGTCCCACTAATGAGTCCCCTTTTCCTCACATGAACTCTGTGTTTTGACGGGGCCTCCATCTCATTCTGAAAAGGGTAAAGAAGGGACAGGACCCCGGACCACAGCTCCTCCCACGCGGTGCCCGCGCACGCGGCGCCGGCGTCTTCCCAGTGAGCTCCTCACCCCACAGCCCGGGGAAGGTGCGGGGCTGCGGGCGCAGAGCTGCACGAGGAGGGCTGCAGGCTGGGCAGAGCCGCCGTGCGGGGACCGACAGGAGCGCGGGTCCCTCACCGGAGGGGACTGAAGACCGAGGGCTGAGCGGGGGCAGCGGGGACTCCGTTCACAGACTCGGTCCCGCCGCCGCCATTTGCCGCCGCTGCCGATGAGGCCCCCCCAGCCTCCGGACGCCCTGCCCAGCACACTCACCATTTCAGGGCTTCAAGGGTGTCGCGAAGTCTTAGCTAGAATCATCCAATACCCGCTGGTCACAGAGCGACGGAGGCTGAGGCTGTGGCAGAATCACCGAAGCCTCCCTGACGGGTGGAAGCAGGAGGGCGAAGCCCTAACCCAGCTCTGGCTGAAGCAAGAGGCCAAGGCCGCACTAGATCCCGGATGCCGCCCCTCCTCCCCGGCTGCGCCCCTGATTGGACGGTTCTCAGTCCAGCGCGCTGATTGGATATGGCTCCAGGCCTCACGCCCTCAGGCTTGGAGTGACAGAAATTGCCAAAATACGGTGTGCTGATTGAGGCAAGTGACAGACTTGGGCCTCTAGGCACTTTGAGGCAGGACTTTCTCTCTGTACTAGGCCTGGCTCTGCACAGGGTTCATTTTTAACCTTGTGCGCGCACACACACAGACGCACACTTGTTCACAAATGGAAACAATATAATGACAATTATTTTAATATTTTAAATATCATAACCTTTCTGACCTGTGGTCTTTTGAGTAGGATACCTGAGATTTGAAGAGGAAAGCAAACTCCAAAAAATAAAATGTTAGCTATTTGCGAATTTTCAATTTTTTGTTAGCCACATCAAAACTAAGAAAAAGAAGCAAGTGAAATTTTTTTGTGATAATTTTAACCTAATGTATCCAAAATATTGACCAGGCCCGGTGGCTCACGGTTGTAATCCCAGCACTTTGGGAGGCCAATGTGGGTTGATCACATGGTCAGGTGATCCAGACCATCCTGGACCACATGGTGAAACTCCATCTCTACTAAAATACAAAAAATTAGCCAGGCATGGTGGTGTGTGCCTGTATTCCCAGCTACTCAGAAGACTGAGGCAGGAAAATTGCTTGAACCCGGGAGGCGGAGGTTGCAAGTGATCTGAGATCATGCGACTGCACTCCAGCCTGGTGACAGAGCAAGACTCCATCTCAAAAAATAAATAAATAAAATTTTAAAACCCCAAATATTATTGTTTTAATATGTGAACAATATGTAATTAGAAATAAGGTATATTTCTGATCTGATTCTTCTAAACTCACTGTGTATTTTATGTTTGCAGCACATTTTACCTCAAACCAGCCACATTCCAGGTACCCAGTAGCTAGATATGGCAGGTGGCAGCCACACTGAGTGCAGCCATGAAGGCTCTGACCTCAGGCAAGTTAGGGCCTGAACACCTCTTTTCTGCTGGAAGTGAGGGAACAGCCTCTCTACCAACTTTTCTCCTCAGGCTCAAGGATGGGTAGGACAGTGCTCCTAGAGAGAGCAGGGGCTGCAAGCTGAGTGTCCACGGGAAGACCACGGTCTCCCAGTTACTGTTTGGTGCCAGTGTCTGGTATCCTCAGTTCAGCCAGGTGTGAACTCTCGTTCCATGACCAGGAAGAATAAGGCACATGGACACCAGAGAGTGAATGAAGCAGAATAGGATTTATTAAGCAAAAGGAAAACTCTCAGCAGCAAGAGGGGACATGAAAGCAGGTTGCCAGAAAATGGGGCTGAGTTCTGAGTCTTTTATGTGGCAAGAACAAGGAAATCTTCTGTGGATTCTGCCCAAATGAGAGAAGTAAAGTTCCCCACTAAGGATGTTGTATCTGGGCATGCCTGGGGTTGACCACAGTGACTCCATCTTGGTTGTTACCCATGAGTGCTCAAGCAAAACCCACAGCGGGTGGAAAGAATGAAGTTAAAACCAAAATAGCTATGTCATGTTAGTAACATTATAAGGAACTGGGTCAAGTTAATGACATTTAGGTTGATTTATTACACCTGGGCCTAAGTTGGGACAGTCCCTTCTGAGTAACATCCTGGCATAAGAGGAAGTTCTTAACCCCATTTCTTCCTGCTAGCTACAGGGGTGGTGCATGTGCAGTCCCGTGGTTGTTTTTCATCTCCCGAGACCTTCCCTCCCTATCTTCCTAACCAGCCTCTGACCACCTCCTCTCTCAGGGGATCCTTTTCCTTTTAAATATCAGACAGTAAACAAAGAATGATGGGGCCACAGGAGGAGAGAGCACCATGTCTTCAGATCTCTTCACAGCCTTGCCCTCCAGAGTTTAGATGTGGAGGGAATAGATTAAAAGCAAACTTCTTGTTTTGCTATTTATCTTTGGACCTAATTACCAGGCTGTAACTGTATGTTTTTCTCCTGTGGTTTGGGGCACTGTGTGAGTTTAAGCACCAATCACATGCATTCACATCAACCTGCACTTCTGTTCCCAGAAGGAAGGCAGTTAAGTGTGAGCTGTCCAGGTCCTTGTCATTTTGAACAAAAAAACTGAACAAAACAAAGGAATGAAAAACAGGAAGGATGCAGCGAAAGCAAGAATTTATGAAAATGAGAAAGCACTCCACAGGGTGGGTGTGGGTTCCAGCAGGCAGACTGAGGACCTGGTTACAAAGTTTTCTGGGTTTTAAGTACTCCTTTTGAGGTCCCTATCAGCTACCCCATTATTTGGATGTAGGATTTGGTCCGTGGCTAATCAAAGGCTGAGGCGAATTGGTACTCCATGCAGATGAAGGAATGGCCTGTGCTTGGCCCTCGGCCACTCCAAGGCACTCTCCTTTTCTATCAGAGAACTGGTGCCAGGGGGAGGGCTGTAGCAACAGTTGCCTTTGATCCTTTGCTACTCGGGTGCAGATGAGGTTTCTCCTTTTGGTTTACATGTAGGAAGTTCACGTTAATTGGCCTTAGGTTCCCTGCTCCCAGACCTTGGTGTTTTTTCTTTTAGGAAGTCAGCATGAATTGGCCTTAAGTTCCCTGCCTCCAGACCCTATTCTCCTGCCTCACTTCTGTGTAAGTAAATACCATCTTACAACAAATTTAACTTTAAATAAAGGAAAAAAGAAAATCAATACTTACAGGGTGCCAAGCATTTGCAGGTTATTTGTAATCAATCTGTCCTGGCATCCTGGAATCCTGTCTTTAATGGGTATATATAATACTAAGCCATAACTGCATAACAAACAATCCCAAAACATACTAGCTCAGCATTGAGCTGTTTAGAAATTTAGGCTGGGCTCAGCTGGACCATTCTTCTGGGTTCAGTTTGGCTCCTACAGGTGTGAGTGGTCAGCTGCTGGTGAATTAGGTGGCTCTGCTTCTGGGAGTGAACTGTCTGTAAACTGAGGCACTTTGGCTTTTCCCAGCATGCTATTTTATCCTCCAGAAAGCTAAAATGGGATTGTTGTCATAAAGATGGAAGAATTCTGAAAAAGATAACAGAAGCATTTAGGGCCTTTAAACCTGGGGCCCAAGCTGGCACACTGTGCCAGTGCAAATAAGTCAAGAGAGATTCAAGGTTTGGGAAACAGAATCTGTCTCTGGATAGGAATGACTATAAAAGCCATTTCCAAGGACATGAATAAGAAATTTTTCAGGCCGGGCGCGGTGGCTCAAGCCTGTAATCCCAGCACTTTGGGAGGCCGAGACGGGCGGATCACGAGGTCAGGAGATCGAGACCATCCTGGCCGACACGGCGAAACCCCGTCTCTACTAAAAACACAAAAAATTAGCCGGGCGAGGTGGCGGCGCCTGTGGTCCCAGCTACTCGGGAGGCTGAGGCAGGAGAATGGCGGGAACCCGGGAGGCGGAGCTTGCAGTGAGCTGAGATCTGGCCACTGCACTCCAGCCTGGGCGACAGAGCGAGACTCCGTCTCAAAAAAAAAAAAAAAAAAAAAAAGAAATTTTTCAAATTGCTGTTTTTGCAATCAATTTTATCATTACTTTTCTTGCAGTTGTGTCTTATATAACTATCCCACAGCTACTAAGCAGCTGGCTGGGACTCAGGATCAATGTTAGCCTGACTCTGAAGCCCATGCACCTCCATAGACCACACTACTCAGCCAGGTTTCCTGGTCCTTCAAGGGGCTGAAGAGTGACACTTCTGAAGTAGAAGCAAGTTTTTTTTTTTGTTTGTTTGTTTTCTTTTTTGTTTTCTTTTTGAGAATCTCATGCCATCCACCCCTTACTCTTCACCATTGGAAATAATTCATTCCAGGGAATGGTTCTGAAGTGTCTTGGAAAAGCTGGAAACAATTTGAGAAAATTGCTGAGCATTGGGTTTAGGAAATTAATGCCCAACATTATATTTTTAATTTATCATAGGAGAAATTTGAAAACACCTATAATGCACTCATCATATCTGCAAACTCTTTGTATTTTTTTAATTTGTTGACTATTTATGATTTTTAATATAGACTAAGTCAGATTACTGTTCCTGAAACAACTTTTGCTCCGAAGGCAAGTGACATAGCAATAGGGCTGCTGATATTTTTTCCCTCTGCAATTTAGTCAACCAGCAGAGTATGCTTTGAAGGGCCAAGATGTTTTCTAAGATCCCACTTTTATGAGCAGCTATAGGGCAAATGTCTGGAGCACACATAGAAATCACACACAACCAATACATTTCTGACCCTGAAGCAATGCTTCTTTCCCTTGGATGCATGTTAGCCTGCTGTGCGTGTGGATAGTGGTATTTAAAGTTCCCAAACCCAAGTTGCAAGGGAATAATTAAGCCAGAATCTCTAGAGTGAGACCCAGGCAACAGTGTGATTTAAAGCTCTCCAGGTGATTACAATATGCAACCACACTCACAAATGTCTGCTGTAAACCAACATCTTTCGTAGAACTAGTTGAAAATATTTCTCAAAATAATGTAAAAATTGTTTGCTGTTGAGTTGTGGCTTTTCAGTCCTACCTGTATTGTCTACATTCTGTCCTTTGCAAAACTGACCTCTGCTACTTGTTTTGTTCCTAATTCAAACCAGTTCTACAAACACTGAGTGCACACTATGTGCAGCCCACGGTGCTAGATGGCCTGACCGTAGTGAATATTATTATGGAGGAAGGACTTTGCTGTAAGAAATTGCATTCCCCAAAACTAAAACCATGCTGCTTACTCAACTGAGGTAAAAAATGGAAGACTATCACGCCTGTAATCCCAGCACTTTGGGAGGCCAAGGCAAGTGGATCATGAGATCGGATATGGAGACCATCCTGGCTTACATGGTGAAACCCCGTCTCTACTAAAAATACAGAAAATTAGCTGGGCATGGTGGTGGGCGCCTGTAGTCCCAACTACTTGGGAGGCTGAGGCTGGAGAGTGGTGTGAACCCGGGAGGCGGAGCTTGCAGTCAGCTGAGATAGCGCCGCTGCACTCCAGCCTGGGTGACAGAGTGAGACTCTGTCTCAAAAAAAAAAAAAAAAAAAAATTAGCCAGGTGTGCTGGCGTGCGCCTGTAGTCCCAGGTACTCGGAAGATTGAGGCAAGAGAACTGCTTGAACCCAGGAGGTAGAGGTTGCAGTGAGCCGAGATCATGCCACTGCACTCCAGCCTGGTGACAGAGTGAGACTCTGTTTCAAAAAACAAACATTGCTATTATTCTGAAATATTAATTTAGGTTTAAATATGTAATATTTAAATTTTTATTGATATATAACATGCATACAGAAATACTTCTGCAATGAAGTATTAATGTAATGCTCAATAAATTATAACAAAGCCAATACATTTGTGAAACTATAGAACTATGCTTGTTTTTGCCCACAAACTATTTCCTCTTTTCCTCCTCCCCAGATGTAAGTACAAGCTTAAGAGCTAGTGTTATAGATGGGTTTTTTTTGTTTTTTGTTTTTGAGACAGAGTCTTGCTCTGTCACCCAGGCTGGAGTGCAGTGGCCGGATCTCAGCTCACTGCAAGCTCCGCCTCCCGGGTTCACGCCATTCTCCTGCCTCAGCCTCCTGAGTAGCTGGGACTACAGGCACCCGCCACCTCGCTGGGCTAGTTTTTTTGTATTTTTTAGTAGAGACGGGGTTTCACCGTGTTAGCCGGGATAGTCTCGATCTCCTGACCTCATGATCCGCCCGTCTCGGCCTCCCAAAGTGCTGGGATTACAGGCTTGAGCCACCGTGCCCGGCCGATGGGTTTTTTTAAAATATGTGTTTTATCAGAGAATATTTTAAATTTTTACACGCAATAAACAAAATAGTATAATAGACTGATGCTCAGCCTCAACATCTACTAATTAAGTCTCATTTCTGTTTAATTTCTACTTCAATTCCTTCCCCGTCCCCACTTTATTACTGTTTTTATTTTCTGTAAGATAAGATGTATATGCATTGAAACATAGTCTTTACTGTACCTTTCTGACAAATCAATACATCTTATATACTTTTCCCTTTCAAATATAGAATTACTGCCACTTAACAATTATTAATGTGCATGTGAATCACCTGGAAATACTTGAAGTTTAGATTTTGATACAATATATCTGGGTTTTGCCTGAAAATGTGTATTTCTACCATGTAGAGCACATGATAAGTACAAGATCTCTTTGTCTAAAATGTATAATACTTGAATAAAATTAAGAAAAATTGGGCTGGGCACGGTGGCTCACACATGTAATCCCAGTACTTTGGGAGGCCGAGGTGGGCTAATCACCTAAGGTCAGGAGTTTGAGACCAGCCTGACCAATATAGAGAAACCTCATCTCTACTAATGTAGCAGGATGAGCAGCAGACAAAACTCCTCAGACACCGAGTTAAAGAAGGAAGGGGGCTGGGCGCGGTGGCTCAAGCCTGTAATCCCAGCACTTTGGGAGGCCGAGACAGGTGGATCACGAGGTCAGGAGATCGAGACCATCCTGGCAAACACAGTGAAACCCCGTCTCTACTAAAAAGTACAAAAAAAATATCGCTGGGCGAGGTGGCGGGCGCCTGTAGCCCCAGCTACTCAGGAGGCTGAGACAGGAGAATGGCGTAAACCCGGGAGGCAGGAGCTTGCAGTGAGCTGAGATCCGGCCACTGCACTTGAGACAGAGCGAGACTCCGTCTCAAAAAAAAAAAAAAGAAGAAGGAAGGGGTTTATTCGGCCGGAGGCATCGGCAAGACTCCTGTCTCAAGAGCTGAGCCCCCCGAGTGGGCAATTCCTGTCCCTTTTAAGAGCTCACAACTCTAAGGGGGTGCATGTGAGAGGGTTGTGATCGATTGAGCAAGCAGGGGGTACGTGACTGGGGGCTGCATGCACCGGTAATTAGATCGGAACAAAACAAGATAGAGATTTTCACAGTGCATTTCTATACAATGTCTGTAATCTATAGATAACATAACTGATTATAGGTCAGGGGTCGATCTTTAACTACTAGGCCCAGGGTGCGGCGCCAGGTTATCTGCCCGTGGATTTCATTTCTGCCTTTTAGTTTTAACTTCTTCTTTCTTTGGAGGCAGAAATTGGGCATAACAAGATATGAGGGGTAGTCTCATCCCTTACTAAAAATACAAAAGATTAGCCAGGTGTGGTGGCACATGCCTGTAATCCTAGCTACTCGGGAGGCTGAGGCAGGAGAATTTCTTGAACCGGGAGGTAGAGGTTGCAGTGAGCAGAGATTGTGCCATTGCACTTCAGCCTGGACAAGAAGAGCAAAACTGTATCTCAAAAAAAAAAAAAAGAAAAAGAAAAATTGACCTCAGGTAAAAGACGAAATCAAAACGCATGTGCAATATGCTATCTGTAGGAGCGTTTCGTCAACAATGACTCACAGTCATATGTGACCTTCACGCACGTCCATGTAAAGACACCACCAAATAGGCTTTGTGTGAGCAACAAGGCTGTTTATTTCACCTGGCTGCAGGAGGGCTGGGTCTGAAAAGAGAGTCAGCACAGGGAGATAGGGGTGGGGCTATTTTATAGGATTTCGGTGGGTAGTGGAAAATGACAGTCAAAGGGGGTTTTTCTCCTATGGGCAGGGGTGGGGGTCACAAGGTGCTCAGTGGGGGAAGTTCTGAGGCAGGAGAAGGAATTTCACAAGGTTAATCGCTCAGTTAAGGAGGGGCAGGAACAAATCACAATAGTGGAATGTCATCAGTTATGGCAGGAACTGGCCATTTTCAATTCTTTTGTGATTCTTCACTTGCTTCAGGCCATCTGGATGTATACGTACAGGCTTGGGCTCAGAGGCCTGACATGACCTTTACTGAATTGCCGAAAATTCAGTCATTTATACACCAAGTGCACACATATTTCATGGTTTCCTATTAAAATTGCATTTAATACCTTTAGAAAATCAACTCAGTTTTCTTATAAAATTAAGTAACATTTTACATGACAATATAAATTCCATTTATATTAAACTTAATCATACATAATTTTATTAGGCAGTGTCTGTGTGTCTACCACTGAATATTCTTTGAGTTCCAGCATTTGCACAGGCACCACAGCTGAGAAACACAGATTCTGGGTCTTTGTCTGTGTGACTGAGCCAAAGGTGGACGTTATGTTCAACTGTTGAAAGGCATTTTTATTGCCATTCCGACTTGACAATGATACATCTAAAAAGATAATGGAATGGATGTTAACTCCTGTCAAACAGATCACTAGCAATTTCTTCCTTATGCAGAGGTTGCAATGAGCCAAGATCATGCCACTGGATTCCAGCCTGGGCGACAGAGCAAGACTGCCTCAAAAAAAAAAAAAAAAGAAGAAGAAGAAGAAGAAAATAAAGGAACAAAGATTTGTTTTCTGAAACACAACAGCCAAAAGCGAATAAGTTCAGTTTCAATAAATGGACCAAGATCTTCAAAGACATTTTCTAAAGAAAGCTTTGCAAATGGCCGAGAGACATTTGGAAAGGTAATAAAAATTATTATTATTATTTTTGAGATAGAGTCTTGCTCTGTCACCCAGGCTGGAGTGCAGTGGTGCAGTTTCAGCTCAATGCAAGCTCCACCTCCTGGGTTCACACCACTCTCCTGCCTCAGCCTCCAGAGTAACTGGGACTACAGGCACCTGCCACCACGCCTGACTAATTTTTTGTATTTTTAGTAGAGACGGGGTTTCACCGTGTTAACCAGGAAGATCTTGATCTCCTGACCTTGTGATCCATCCACCTCAGCCTCCCAAAGTGCTGGGATTACAGGTGTGAGCCACTGTGCTTGGCCTCAAAATTACTTGAGAGAAATGCAAAGCACAATCCCAGTGAGCTCTTACCTCTCACCCATTAGCATGGCCACTATTCAACGCACAAAAGGAATCAATGTTGTCAAGGATGCAGAGCATTTAGAACCCCCATGCACTGTGGTGGGAGAGAATAATGCAGCCCCCAAGAAAATTTGGATGGAGATTTCTCAAAATATTAAAAATAAAATGCATCTTGGTGTGGCGGCTCCTGCCTGTAATTCCAACACTTTGGGAGGTTGAGGTGTGATAATTACTTGAGCTCAGGAGTTTGAGTCCAGCCTGAGCAACATAGTGAGACCCCATCTCTACAAAAATTAACCAGGTGTGGTGGCATGTTTCTGTAGTTTCAGCTACTGGGATGGCTGAGGTGTGAGGATTGTTTCAGCCCAGGATGTTAAGGCTGCAGTGACCATTATTACACCACAGCACTCTAGCCAGGGTGACAATGTTAAGATGCTATCTCAGAAAAATGAAATTATCCTACAATCCAGCAATTCCATTTCTGGGTATCTATCTATGTATGCAAAGCAGGAGCTGGAATGGACATTTGCACACACATGTGTATAATAACATTCCCCCCCGCAAAAGATGAAAACTACTTAAAAGTTTCTTGATAGATAAATCGATAAAGATGTGGCATATGCATGCAATGGAATATGGCTCTACGTTCTGAAAGCAAATTATGCAGGTGCTACAAAAAGTATAAAACTTTAGGACATTCGGTGAAACATGCCAGAAACAAAGTGACAAAGATCATATAATTCCATTTATATGAGCTATCTCAAGTAGTCAAACTTACAGAAACAGAAATTAGAATGATGTAATTTCATAAGGTGGAGAGAGAGTAAAAGGGGCAGTTAGTGCTTCAGGGGTATTGAGTTTCAGCTTTGTAAGATGTGAAAATTCTTGGCTGGGCACAGTGGCTCACACCTGTAATCCCAGCACATTGGGAGGCTGTGGCAGGTGGATCATGAGGTCAGGAAGTTGAGACCAGCCTGGCCAACATAGTGAAACCCCATCTCTACTAAAAATACAAAAATTAGCCAGGCATGGTGGTGGGTGCCTGTAATCCCAGCTACTCGAGAGGCTTAGGCAGGTGAATCACTTGAACCCAGGAGGCGGAGTTTGCAGTGAGCCAAGATTGAGCCACTGCACTCTAGCCCGGGTGATAGAGTGAGACTCTGCCTCAAAAAAAAAAAAAAAAAAAAGAAAGTTCTGGAGTTTTGTTGCAGAGCAATGTAAATATACTTAGCACTGCTAAACTGTACACATTAAAAATATAAGATGGCCAATATCATGTGTTTTCCTGACAATTAAAAATTTGTGAAAAGTACTTAAAAGAGATTCAGCATAATAAAGTGTTCCTAAATTATCTTCAAATTACAAAAGTGTTTTGCTCCCACAAAATCACTTAGATTCATCCAAAAGCACAGAGTGAAATTAATATTCTTTTCATGACTACTTGACTCAACAGGGTAAAACAACCTTCAGCACAAGCCAAGAACACAAATAGACAAGATAAGCCATGCAGAAAGTTGGGGTTATGATTTTAGAGGAAGACAAATACATGCATAATTTGATTGGTGATGAATATGGCATATTCCTACTAAGCCCCACATTGACTTACAGTGTTTCTAGAGAGTTCCAAATTGACATCCAGAATCACTGACATCCAAAATCACCACTCCCAGGTAAAACCAAACACACCATACACTGACACCAAGAAACCTACCATAAAAAAAAAAAAAAAACATACAAAATTACCAAATAAGAATGAGAAAAGCATTCACCCAAACAATCCTGTATACAACCTAGATATACTACTGAAAAAAAATCCCCATAGATTTTCAAATGGATATGTGTAAATGTGAAGAGCAGATATTTTAAATCATAACTGTTTGAAACAGTTGCCCCACAGCAAGCACCTCCACTCTCAGGAAGACAGTGGCACAATCCTCTGGCTTAATAGACCACAAGGCCACATGGAGCATTGGTGGCACATGGGGTGGGACAGCAGGAGCACTGGTTCTGGAGTTTTGGAGAGCAACTGCAGGCCCCAGTGTAGGCCCCAGCCTCTGGCACACTGGTGCATGCCAAAAAAGGAGCCCTCAGGCCACCACCACTCTCATCAGGGCCCTTGCATCTGTCACTTTGTAATCTGTGCCTGCAGCTCCCTGGTCCCTGAAGGTCCTGTTCTCCAGGAGGCAGATAGCTTTGCTTCCAGCCTCCACACCTTCTTATTTCACCTGTGCAGGATATAAGGATCTGTGCTGTTCCTGTGCCTCTAAGGATCCATGTGCCCAACCATGAGAATAAGAAGGAGGTGTTTTGAGGGAACCAGAGGCAGTGGCTGGCTGAGAGGAGGGGTGACAGGACCACTACGTGCATGATGTCATGGGTGGTAGGGCAGGCAGGGCTGGCTGCTTCCTAGGCAAGGAAGTCAGAAGATCCAATGGTTTCCACCATCTCCACACTCTAACCAGGGTTGCCAGGGGGAGATCTAAATACATTCATGACCGGATGCTACAGAAATGGAAGCAGCAGCAGCTTCATCTTGGAGTTGCATGGCTGTTATCATGACCAAACAATGGGGAAAGGGCTGACTCTCCAACAAAAGATATTAAAAAACTCAATATTGAAACTTTCAAAAATTAACTTAGACCTTTCCTTTGCACAACGTACAAAACATTACTTACCTATTTATGTATGCATAGCAGGAACTAGAAATGACATTTGCACACCCATGTTCATAAACAGTATTATTCTAAAACCAAAAGTTGGAAGCTACTTATATAACCCTTGACATATAAATGGATTTGTAAAATGGAATATACATGCAATGGGAAATAATTCTATTTTATAAAATGAAATTAAGTCACACACTATTATAAAGATAAACCTTGAGGGCTAGGTGTGATGACTCATGCCTGTAATCCACATAATTGGGGAGGTAAAATAAAAGAGAGAGAGAGAATCTCTTGAGGCAAACAGTTCAAGATCAACCTGGACAACACAGGGAGACTGCATATCTTCCAAAAAGGAGTAAATCTTTACAACATTAAGTAAAGAGAAATACGCAAAAAAAAAAACAAAGTAACAGGGAGTATATAATTTCATTTATGTGAGATATTTTTAGTAGTCCACTCATAAAAACAGAAAGTAGAATGGTGTTTGTCAAGAGCTGGGGGAGGAGGAACGTGTTACCAAGAAGTGCAAGGTCCTTAATTTTTGTCTTCTTGAGAGAAATAATTTAGCCAAGAGGTAATTTAGTGAAACAAGCAGAGTTTATTAAAGGAAAATAAAGTACACTCCAAGAGGAGTGGGCTTGGCCGGGCGCGGTGGCTCAAGCCTGTAATCCCAGCACTTTGGGAGGCCGAGATGGGCGGATCACGAGGTCGGGAGATCGAGACCATCCTGGCCGACACGGTGAAACCCCGTCTCTACTAAAAAATACAGAAAACTAGCCGGGCGAGGTGGCGGGCGCCTGTAGTCCCAGCTACTCAGGAGGCTGAGGCAGGAGAATGGCGTGAACCCGGGAGGCGGAGCTTGCAGTGAGCTGAGATCCGGCCACTGCACTCCAGCCTGGGCGGCAGAGCGAGACTCCGTCTCAAAAAAAAAAAAAAAAAAAAAGAGGAGTGGGCTGGCCCAATTGAAAACTGCCCTGAGAGTTCCATGTTGCAGTTTTTATTATCTTGCACTTAAAAAAAAAATTTCCTCATCGGTCTTAAGGGGCTGTTTTTTCTGGTCATTTCTAACTATCGGCCTACTCTAACATTCGCTTCTCAATAGATTGCGACTAAAAATCTTCAAGTCTAGGGGCACTGTGGGTCTTCTGTAACTACTTCCTGCTGATATGAGACAAAGAACTCATCAGTGTCTCATTCTCTTGCTCCCTTTCAGGGAAAGATACCTTCTATGTTTCCCCAGAAGGTTCAACTTGCAGTGTCCAGAGGAAATGTGGAGGAACATGAAGAAGATAGATCAGTGTTCCTGTTGCAGGACTTCTTGTAGTCTGAGGTGAGAGAAAACAAACCTGGTTACTAGATTTAGTGAACAAGGCCCAAAAAGGATGGGGGAAAAACAAACAAACAAACAAACAAACAAACAGATAAGAACAAGGCCAGAGATCCCAAGAAAATGAGATGTCATGAGAATTGGAACCAGTTGGCATCCTAGGAGAACTAGCTCTCAGTGACATGTTTAGGATGGCTTAGTTTATAAAATCTCTAACTTAATTCTGGCCTTTCCCTATTCTGTTAACCCAGAAACAGCATTTTTCTCCTAGAATAAGGCAAATTCCTTTGTGAGCTACAGCCGGTATGTCAAGACCTCTACAACTTTGGAGAACTACAACCATGAGAGAACTTGTTGCTGTGACTCAGAGTTGGAGCAGTGGTTTCTATTTTGTGAGTCAGTTCCAGAGACAGGTGGTGGTAAGCTGAGGAGGCAATAATAATGCCAGTTATTTCTGTGGTGGCACTTGTGGTGCCAAGCTCATTGCAGAAAGAAATTAGATGAACTGCTCAGTCAATCTGGTGTTGAGTAAATAAGTGTTAAATGGTGTGGTAAATAAGGGTAATAGCAGAGGAGCATCACCTGGGACAATGGAAACTTAAGGGGTGAGGTAAGCCAGAATGTATGTTCTGGTTCAGTTTGCCGGGAGGCAGAGATAAACTTGCATTTCCCAGAGGAATTAAAGTTCTGCAGTTGAGAAACAAGAATGAGGTGAGGTGCAGTGGCTCACGCCTGTAATCCCAGCACTTTGGGAGGCCGAGGCAGGCGGATCACGAGGTCAGGAGATTGAGACCATCCTGGCTAACACAGTGAAACGCTGTTTCTACTAAAAATACAAAAAATTAGCTGAGCACCTGTAATCCCAGCTACTCAGTAGGCTGAGGCAGTTGAATGGCATCAACCTGGGAGGTGGAGCTTGCAGGGAGCCGAGACCGCGCCACTGCACTCCAGGCTGGGCAACAGAGTGAGACGCCATCTCAAAAAAACAAAAACAAACACAAAACCAAGAATGAATGTAGGAGGTAAGGTCAGATCCAAACATTGACCGGTGTGCTTTGTTGGCTACCCAATATATGATATTTTGCCAATAAAGTTGCTGCTATCAGGGAGCTAGACATGGGTGATTAGTTTGAATAGGACAATGGGTCCTATTTTCTCACAAGAGCATGTGTCTAATAGTATCAAGGAGAAGCGGAGCGCGGTTTCTATTTTGTGAGTCAGTTCCAGAGACAGGTGTTGGTAAGTTGAGGAGGCAATAATAATGCCAGCTATTTCTGTGGTAGCACTTGTGGTACCAAGCTCATTGCAGAAAGAAATTAGATGAACTGCTCAAGGAGTATCAAGGAGAAGAGTTTTCTGGAAGGAATTACAGAGTTGAAACCTATTGCATAATCTATACCAGCTTGGTCAATACCATGAGTTAGATTGACTGCAAGAAGGGTGACTGAAGCAGAATTCAGTGGCATCATTTTGGATGAATGGTCCAGGAGTTAAAATATTTGAAGGGCCCAGAGAATCTCATTTGGTTAAAAAAAAAAAAGTTTGAGAAGTATCAATAATGGTGCTGTTTGTGTTACATTGTGCTCAGTCAAGTTCACCCACAAGGGTTCTGGAATTTATGGTATCATAGATGTATAGAGGTGTCAGTTCAATAAGGGTAACAGGGGAGAACAAGGGGCTTAAGGCTGTGGAATAAAATCTTTAAAGCCACTTTAGTTTGTGTTAGAAACAGTACATTAGTAGGGGGAAGCTTTTGTATAGTGAGGTCTCGATCGTAGTTGAAGCCATGTTGGGACTAAGGAGTTGGCCATTCTTGTATTATGACCAAGTAGGACATTCCTACCATGAATGAAGAGGAATTCATGCGTAGCTAACATGTTGAGACATAGGAAGAACTGGCAGACTTTAGTAGTTGTGGAGCTGCCTATAGAGTGCTAAAAAAAAGACTGTTGACAGTTAGTGCCCATGAAGGTGATTTTAGCCAGAAGTAAGATTGATGACTATAGAGAATTAGGTTGCATGGTTCCAAGGAAAGTAGATTAGGGCCAAAGTGAGAAGCTTGCTGATTAAGAGATACTGTGAACACAATGAGTATTAGAGAGAGAGATCAATACTCAGATTATGACTTTGAAGTTTAAATCTAGGAGGGGCATAGCAAACACTTCCCTGGAGAGCGTGATGGTTTACAGTAATAAAGGCCTATTAGTAAGTCTGCATAGAGTATTACAACTTGCAATATAAAGGCCAAAATATTACTAACAATTGCTGATGAACTAAGGCAGTCAAAAGTAAAATAACTAAATCATTAGGCTAAAAAAAATCATACTAAAGATAGCTCTTACTGAAACTTTGGGCAGTGCACAAGTTAGGGTTAAAGTAAGAATAAACAGTATCTTTGAAAATAAGATTGCCAATATTGGGACTACCCTACTGTGAGGTAAAGGAGTGGGAGCATTACTTATCCTCTCTTTTAAAGAGAAATTTTAAATCCTCTAGTGGCTCACATGAGTAGCTGAGTGTTGGTTCCTTAAAGTCTTGTTGGCCAGGTGTGGTGGCTCACATGTGTAATCCCAACACTTTGGGAGCCTGAGGCGGGCAGATCAGGAGGTCAGGAGTTTGAGACCAGCCTGACCAACATGGTGAAACCCCATCTCTACTAAAAATACAAAAAGTAGCCGGGCCTGGTGGTGTGTGCCTGTAATCCCAGCTACTCAAGAGGCTGAGGCAGGAGAATCACTTGAACACGGGAGGTGGCGGTTGCAGTGAGCTGATTGTGCCACTGCACTCCAGCCTAGGCAACAGAGTAAGATTCCATCTCAAAAAAAAAAAAAAAAAAAAAAAATCTTTCCAGGGTTTTATTCAGAAGTGATGTATTCAACCAGGGATGCCAGGAACTTTGATAACTATTAGGGTATAAAGTATGATAGTAAAAGGCTTATTTTGTAACCGGGTTAGTTGAGATCCCAGAGACCCATCTCTCCAGATTTTAATGAGGACGTGTGACCCTGCCTATCATAAGGGTTGTTGGTTGTTACAGGAGTCACACTCAGTCAGCATCATTTATCCCAACTCCTGGATGGCCGTGTGAAATTAAGTCATGGATTTTAATTTGGTAACCACTGGGTACATTAGGTTTGCATGTAGAAAGGGTCTCTCACATAGGATTCCAAAGGAACTAAGGCATAGATGTAATTTCGGGGCTGTTCAGATCTGGAGAAGTGCCATGGGCAGTTCTAGACATGGTAAAGAGGTTTCCTGGCATCATTTGCTCAGGGTCCTTTTAATGGCTTCATTAATTCTACCTTCCAGGAAGATTGTGGCCTTAAGGAGAAGTGTAGAATGTATTTTATCCCTAGGGTTTTTTGCCACTAATTGAGTATAGTTTATAAAGTAAACATGGACCATTATTACTTTGTGAAGACTGTGAAAGCCCAAACCAGGTGATAATTTCTTTGAGGAGAGCCTTGGCAACTACTTGAGTCTTTTCTTTTTTTTTTTTTTTTTTTTTGAGACGGAGTCTCGCTCTGTCGCCCAGGCTGGAGTGCAGTGGCCGGATCTCAGCTCACTGCAAGCTCCATTCTCCTGCCTCAGCCTCCCGAGTAGCTGGGACTACAGGCGCCCGCCACCTCGCCCGGCTAGTTTTTTGTATTTTTTTTTTTAGTAGAGACGGGGTTTCACCATGTTAGCTAGGATGGTCTTGATCTTGTGACCTCGTGATCCGCCCGTCTCGGCCTCCCAAAGTGCTGGGATTACAGGCTTGAGCCACCGAGCCCGGCCTTGAGTCTTTTCTGTTCTAGTATGAAAGGCTTCAACCCAGCCAGTAAATGTGTCCGCAAAAATCAGAAGGTATTTATAGCCTCAACAGGCTGGGAATTGAGTAGTCTATCTGCCAGTCTTTCTGCTGGGTAGGTTTCTTATTGCTGAACTGGCTGAATTAAGGGAAGCAGCTTAGGGCCTTGAGGATTATTGCAGACACAGAATGGACAGGCTTTACTAACTTTCCAAAAAGGTTTTTTTATTTTTTTATTTTTATTTTTTTTTACGTTTGATGGAGATGGTCTCTCCCAAAGTGACGAGAATTATAAAGTGCCCTTATTACTTTCTGTTGGAGGGCCTGGGAGGATAAAGAACCTCGCCCAATTATTACAATTTTTCAAGTTCTAGGGTGTATTTGCATTTGATCGCCATTTCTGTCTTGGGTATATTGCAGGGTGGGTAGGTTGTTAGGCAAAGGTGGAATAAGGGCCACAAAAAGTTCCCAGAGATGGTGGTGGCCCTAGCTGCTTGGTCAGCCCTCCTGTTTCTCTGAGCAATTTCATCTTGACCCTTCTGGTGGCGCCAGCAATGAACTACAGCTACTTTCTATGGTAGGTGGATGGGCTGGACTAGGGTAAAAATCTGTGAGCCATATTTAATAGGGGTATTCTCTGCTGTCAAAAGTCTCCTTTCTTTCCAGATGGCTGCATAAACATGAGTACTAAGAAGGCATGTTTGAGGGCATGGTGCCTCATGCCTGTAATCCCAGCACTTTGGGAGGCTGACCTGGGTGAATCACTTGAGGTCAGGAGTTTGAGACCAGTCTGGCTAACATGGTGAAACCCCTTCTGTACTAAAAATACAAAAATTAGCCAGGCGTGGTGGAGCACACCTGTCAGTCCCAGCTACTAGGGAGGCTGAGGCAGGCAAACTGGATGAACCTGGGAGGTGGAGGTTGCAGTGAGCCAAGATTGCACCACTGCACTCCAGCCTTGGCAACAGAGTAAGACTCCGTCAAACAAACAAACAAACAAACAAACAAAAAAAGGCGTATTTGAAGTCTGTATTAATAGTAACTTTTTGGTTCTTTCTTAGTTCTAGGGGTTTGGTCAGAGCTGTGAGTTTTGACTGCTGGGCTAAGGTTCCTAGAGATAATTTAAAGTTTTATAAACAAATAAAAACCTATTTGGGGAGCCAGTGTAAGATAATTGGTAGTATTTAGGCAAAACTGAGAAATAGGCACAAAGGAAACTACATTAATAGAGTGCAATATTTAATTCAAGAAGTAAATTTGTATTTATAAAAGTAATAAAATCATAGTTGTACTATGTGCATTTGTAGTAAATAATATTTATTTATTTATTTATTTACATTTTTATTTTTTGAGATGGAGTCTCACTCTGTCACCCAGGCTGGAGTCCAGTGGCGTGATCTCGGCTCACTGTAAGTTCTGCCTCCCGGGTTCATTCACACCATTTTCCTGCCTCAGCCTCCCGAGTAGCTGGGACTACAGGCACCCACCCTCATGCCCAGCTAATTTTTTGCATTTTTAGTAGAGACGGGGTTTCACCATGTTAGCCAGGATGGTCTCGGTCTCCTGACCTTGTGATGCGCCCACCTCAGCCTCCCAAAGTGTTGGGATTACAGGCGTGAGCCACCATGCCCAGCTTGAAGTAAATAATATTTAATTACATTACGGCATTTACTGACTACAGATACAGGTAAAAATTATGCTATAAGTATTCTGAATTGCTAAAGGGGTGGGGAAGGACAGTTGAAAGTTGTTTCCAAGTACGTCAGTATCAAATGGCAATTTCTAGAGTTTATGTGGTTTAAATACAGGAAGCATTTCTCTTTTCTGTATATTTTATACGTTTTGCACATACAAATATGACAAGAAACATTTAACAATTTTTGTTAAATTTTTATTAAGAATGTGTTGAAGATAATCATGTTTCTGTTTGAAGAGGGATTTTACTGTAATAAGTATTATCTCTAGAGTCAAAGTTGCCTGTGTTGTGAGCAAGTCATTTTTCTCTATGGCTCTGTTTCTTTTTCTGTAAAATGAGGATAATAATAATACCTATGTTATTAATCATCTGTGAAAATTATTATTATTTTTTTTTGAGATGGGGTTTTGCTTTTGTCACCCAGGCTGGAGTGCAATGGTGTGATCTCAGCTCACTGCAATCTACACCTCCCAGGTTCAAGCAATTCTACTGCCTCAGCCTCTTGAGTAGCTGGGATTACAGGCTCCCAACATCACACCTGGCTAATTTTTGTATTTTTAGTAGAGACAGGGTTTTACCATGTTGGCCAGGCTGGTCTTGAACTCCTGACCTCATGATCCACCTGCCTTGGGCTCCCAAAGTCCTGGGATTACAGGTGTGAGCCACTGTGCCAGACCAAAAATAAAATTTATTAAAACATATACAGTATAATGGTTAGCATTTAGTAGAAATCAACTATTAATAAAACATGTATATACTGAATTACAATACATTCTTTAATACAGAAATATCTTCTCATTACATGAGTTTTTCAACCAATAAATGAATGTATTTTTCCAAAAATGTGGTATACACAAGGAACTACAATTCAACATTAAAAGGGAGGAAATCTTTTCATTTGAAACAATGTGGATAAATGTGGAGTACACTATGCTACGTGAAATAAGCAAGACAGTAGAATGCTGGTTACCAGATGCTTGGGAATTTACAAGAAAGGGGCATCTGGAGACATGTCTGTAAAATAAGACATAGTTGCCTCAGAGGTATAAATTCAAGAAATCTATTGTACAGCATGGTGACTACAGTTAATAATACATTTTTGGAGAATGCTAAGACAGCCAATGTTATGAGCTCTTATCACGAAAGTAATGACTATGTGCAGTGAAGTATTTGTTAAGTAGCTAGAATTAAGCTTTTGACAATCTATATATACTGCAAAACACCATGTTCTACAGGATATTTTATCTGTCAATTAAAAAAATGTATTTTCAAAATTACAATGTTGCCAATGCTGTCTCTTTGTCAAACAACTTGAATATTATCAAAAATGTATAGTTTTTGTGCTGTTTTTGTAATATAATAACCATAGATTATGGTTGCTCACACTTGTAATTCCAGGACTTTGGGAGGCCGAGGTGGGAGGATCACAAGGTCAGGAGTTCGAGACCAGCCTGGCCAACATGGTGAAACCCGTCCCTACTAACAACACAAAAATTAGCCAGGCGTGGTGGTGCACACCTGTAATCTCAGCTACTAAGGAGGCTGATGCAGGAGAATCGTCTGAACCCAAGAGGCGGAGGTTGCAGTGACCTGACATTGTACCACTGCACTCCAGCCTGGCGACAGAGCGAGACTCTGTCTCAAAAACAAAATAAAAAAGAAAATAATCATAGGAACTCTAATATTTACTAGCATGTCTTAGACCCAGAACAATATATAATACAAGACAATGCACTCTAGGGCTTTTACTTTTACGCTTGAAGTACCTGGAGTTTCTAGTGCTGATGGAAATCATATATAAGACAGACACTAAAAGGGCGAGTGATGCTAAAGGTCCCATAATTGGCCACTCTGTGAACACAGTAAATGAATTTTCATCAAAAATCACTGAGAGGCTTAGCACGGTGGCTCACGCCACTAATCCCAGCACTTTGGGAGGCTGACGTGGGTTGATCACGAGGTCAGGAGTTTGAGACTAGACTGGCCAACTTGGTGAAACCCTATCTCTACTAAAAATACAAAAATTAGCTGGGCGTGGTATTGGGCACCTGCATCCCAGCTACTCGGGAGGCTGAGGCAGGAGAATGAATCACTTGAACCTGGGAGGTGGAGGTTGCAATGAGCTGAGATCATACCACTGCACTCCAGCTGGGTGTCAGAGCAAGACTCCATTTCCAAAAAAAAAATAATTAAAAAAAAAAATCACTGAGAAAATATTTGAATTCAATAGCTGCCATAATCTTCAAACATTTTGCAGAGAAAGTGACCAAGGACTTGGATAAAGTAAGGTGACTAAAAATGAAAACTGTAGCTCATGAAATGCATCCACTAAAACAAAAAATTTGAAGAGAAATTCCTCAAGATTGTAATATGAATATGGACAAAAAAGATCATTGCAGAGTTTGAATCTACAGAGATAATTCTATTGTTTTTCCACCATTTAACATTCACACTCAAAAATATAAGATTCTGGCCTGGCACGGTGGCTCATGCCTGTAATCTCAGCACTTTGAGAGGCTAAGGCAGGCAGATCATTAGGTCAAAAGATTGAGACCATCCTGGCCAACATGGTGAAACTCCATCTCTATTAAAAATACAAAAATTGCCGGGCGCAGTGGCTCACGCCTGTAATCCCAGCACTTTGGGAGGCCGAGGCGGGCAGATCACGAGGTCAGGAGATCGAGACCATCCTGGCTAACACGGTGAAACCCCCTCTCTACTAAAAATACAAAAAATTAGCCGGGCGTGGTGGTGCGTGCCTGTAGTCCCAGTTACTCGGAGGCTGAGGCAGGAGAATGGCGTGAACCCAGGAGGCGGAGCTTGCAGTGAGCGGAGATCATGCCACTGCACTCCAGCCTGGGCGACAAAGCGAGACTCCGTCTCAAAAACAAAAAACAAAAAACAAAAATTAACCGAGTGTGGTGGCGGGCACTTGTACTCCCAGCTACTCAGGAGGCTGAGGCAGGAGAATCACTTGAACCTGGGAGGCAGAGCTTGCAGTGAGCTGAGATTGAGCCACTGCACTCCAGCCTGGTGACAGAGTGGGACTCCATCTAAAATAAATAAATAGAAGATTTTGTATGGAAAAATAAGTTTTACTATGTCACAGAAAATTAAATGTAAAATTCTTCACTTACCATTATCTCCTAAAAATTTTCTTCCTTTTTGTTGTTGTTGAGATGGGGTCTTGCTCTGTTGGCAGGATGCACTGAAGTGGCACAACGTCAGCTCACTGCAACCTTCGCATCCTGGGTTCCAGCGATTCTCCTGCCTCAGCCTCCGGAGTGGCTGGGACTACAGGCACGTGCCACCATGCCTGGCTAATTTTTGTATTTTCAGTAGAGATGGGGTTTCACCATGTTTGCCAGGATGATCTTGGCTCTTGACCTCGTCACCTGCCTGTCTCAGCCTCCGAAAGTGCTGGGATTACAGCACTTTTTAGGCCACCACGCCTGGCCTAAAAATTTTATTACTAAGATATATTTCCTCTTAAGAAATTTCAAAATTCTGATGTGTTTCTACATATGGTGGTACAATATACAACCCACTTATATTAATGCTTTCCTTGTTCTAGCTTTTGTTACATTTTACACACTTTGTCATAGAATCTCATACAATTTTTCTTTTACAAACACAGAAAAACAATGCCGACTGACTTAATCCTCTTACCTGTGGACAGTGAATTACTCTTATCTCAATTACGTGATCTAAATGTTGCACTGATAACCTATAAATAACCTCAAACACCCCAGTTAAAAACAATTTACCATAGTAAAGACTTCAAACTTCTCATCAGAACCTAAAGTCCACGTGAAATTACGTGGCATGAAGAGAACAGTGAGAAACTAGCCATAATACAAAAATGAAGAAAGGCTCTGGGGCATACATACCTGGGCATAAATACATAAAGACATCACAAAACTGAAGATAAGTAGAAAATAAGAACACAAATCCTCTTTACATTCATAATGAGTTGGTTCTGCAGCCTGGGAACAGATGTCCTCTCCACATGCACAATGAATCTGTTCACCACAATCAATCTGTTCACCACAATGAATCTGTTCACCACAATGAATCTGTTCACCATAGATTATTTTCAATCTCTTACTTGGAGCTACAAATTAACTCCAGGAATATTTATGGCTAATCATGAAGTAACTATTAAACACCCAGAACTTTCTATTTGTTCACTACAATAATACATCAAAACATCCCCATAATTGACAAAGTTTTCCCAGTACTTACCTGAACAAATTGGTAAAATAAACTAATTTATGTCAATTATAAAAACTGAAAGGAACAATAACTAAACAAAACAGCTTATATAGGGTTCTTAAAACAAAATGAAATGTTCTAACTAAAACATAACTTAATACATATATTATGAAATTACATCTAAAAATTTTATGTTCACTACTAAATTTTATAAAAATCATTCTTATAATTTCTGACCAGCTCACATAATAAATACTTCATGAGGTGAAAAAAAAAAAAAAAAGAGAATCAAAGAAATTATAGCTCTAGCATGAGCATCAAATAAAAACAGGGAATTTATATGGGGAGATTCTCAACAACAATCCATTAGATTTTAATTAATTAAATAAAAATATGAAAATATAAATGTGGTTTCAGAATGTCTGAGGCTTCTAGATTTCCAGTAAATTATCCATGGTATTAACGTAATCTTCTTTGTTCTAATATTGCTATTTTCTTTGGAAAATAGGTACAAACTCACACAAACACAATTGATCGCTCCATAATTTTCTTACACCTAAGGTTTATCTTTAGAGCAACACATTTATATACTTAACTTCATGTAACGGGAACTAACGTTTGTATAAGTTTGCAGGAAAAGATGCCACATGTTCAAAGATAAATGTAAAACATTTTTAAAAGTATTCAGGATGCATAAATGTATGAATTATAATTACACTCTAATACTACAATCATAATTGTACAGTTAGATAATAAAGTCATTGTGAACAGTGAAACTTATAAATACAAAAATAGGGATGGCCCTGTATAGTACTCGGAGTAGCAGAAGGATGAATGGACAGTTGCATAGCTGAATGGATGCACCATGGGAAACGAATGTAAAAAAAAAAAAAAAAAAAAAAAAAAAAAAAAAAATATAATGGATTGTGTGTAATACAAAGGATGAATGCTTGAGGTGATGAATAACTCATTTACTCTGGTATATTACATGTTGTATACCTGTATAAGAAAATAACCCATATATGCCATAGATAAATATGCATACTACGTACCCACAAAAATTTTAGAAAATAAGAGTAAAAATGCAACAAATGGGAAAGATATTCTTCAATATATTTGCTATTTAAAGCCATTGGAAAAAGAGAATACTAAAAATGTCATTCAACTATGTTACCATTGTTACCATCTTTTACCTACACCCTTGAGTAAGGTGGGATAGGTGTTAAGTTGGTGGCATAATGACACTTCATTCAAGCAACATTTCAAAACGTTAACAATTTTCTTTAGTTAAAAAATTGTTCCCACATAATCTTAAAATAATTTAAAAATGTACTGTATTTTATTACTTAAATGTATAATTGGTAAAACAATTTACTAGTAAAATACAGATTGTTTTTCTCTCACTATAATGCAGAAGAATATTACTCTCAACACCTACCTCATGCATCACTCAATATTGTCAACTACAAAAAAGCCTCTCTGCTTAGATTTTCATTATGGATCTTTCATTTATGTTCTTACCCTTTCTTGTAAAAATTCATGAATAATGCCCACTGAATGAAAGAGAATCTCTCTTATCTCTGACGCAGCAACGATTCATCACACACTTTCATATAAACAGGAATGTGTTGAAATAGTATGAAATAATTTGAGTTGAATTAACTATTATATGCTTTTCAAAAAATCTATAATTTTTTCAAGTGAAAAAATATACTTTAAATGTAGTATCTCTTCAAAAATCTTTTCAACTTATATGCAAAGAAATTCTCTAACAGGTTAAACTTTGCATTATTTTTTATATTTAATACTCTGATTTACTGCAGTGTCCAAAGTGTTAGTTCCTTAGTTCTTTCTACTGTAAATCCTCTGATGTTTACAGTCTTAATTTTAGACTAAATATTTCTTCACATTTACTGCATCTACAAATTATATTCTAGCAGAAACTCTCTGGTGTTTTTTCAGCTGCAGTTTTTGAACAAATGTTTTTCCACATTTACTACATTTGTAGGATTTCTCGCCAATATAAATTTTCTGATGTTGAAGAAAGTCTCCTTCAGGGTTTTCCCCTATTACAAAATGTGTATAACAAAATCCATGATAGAAGTACAGGTACTACAACCCTCTTTATTGTTTGTATTGCTTGTCTTAAGAATACTCTTCTTCACTTTTAAGGCCTATAATTTTCTGAAAGGTCTTTCAACAGAAATTACATTTATAATGTTTTTAATATGTACAAACTTTGCTAGTTAGTAAAATGTGAGTAGATATCTTTTCTATATATTTTATATTTCTACAACTTTTCTTGAGTATAAAGGCTATCATGTGCAAAAAGATGAGCATTGGTAAAAGTTTTGCCACATTTTTTGTATTTCCAGGGGATTTATTCAATAGGAATTATATATATACAGTAAGATATGACAAGCATTTGAAGGCTTTGCAACATTTTTCATATTTTTATGGCTTCTCACCAGTATCATTTCTCTTATATTTAGAATAGATTGAGGTGTGGTTACAAGCTTTGTCACACTTTTCATGTTTGCATTTTCTCTCCAGTGTGAATTATCTTATGATTAGAAAAGACTTGAGGAAGATTTAAAGACTGCCACATTCTTCACATTTGTAAGACTTTCCTCCAGTATGAGTTCTCGTATGTTTAAGAAGCCTGGAGTATGGATTAAAGGTTTTGCCACATCATTTACATTTCTATGGTTTTATATCTAGTATGAATTTTCTTATATTCATCTTTCATATCTTCTCAAGATAAGCTTGTGGAATGAATCTTCTATGCTCAAATGTGAATTTTCATAAAGGTTTGTGGATGGTCTGAAGGCTCTGCCACATTCTTCACATTTATAGCATGTTTTCCCCAGAATGAATTCTCTTGTGTACAGTAAGGGTTGAGAACCTATCAAAGGCTTTGCCACATTCTTTACATGTGTAGGATTTCACCCTGGTATAAATTCTCTTATGTTTAACAAAGTTTGAGGATGTGGTAAAGACAGTGCAACATTCTTCACATGTCAAGCATTTTGCTCCAGCATGAATTTGCTTATGTTCATTAAGGATTGAGGACCATTTAAAGGCTTTATCACACTGTTCACATATGAAGTTCATCTCCAGTATGAATTATCTTATATTTATTAAGCGTTGAGGACCAATTAAATGCTTTGCCACATTCTGCCACATGTGTAGGGCTTCCCTCCAGCGTGATTTTTCTTATATTTATTCACCAGTGAGGACTGTTTAAAGGTTTTGTCACATTCTTTACATTTGCAGGGTTTATCTCCAGTAATAATTTTCTTCTGCTCAATTCAGGTTTGTGGACCATCCACAGGCTTTGCCACATTCTTCACATTTGTACAGTTTCTCTCTGGTATGAATTCTCTTATGTTTAGCAAGTTTTGAGAATGAGGTAAAGAATTTTGCCATGTTCTTCACATTTCCAGGGTTTCTCTCCAGTATAAATTTTCTCATGTTCATTCAGGTTTGTGGACCATCCAAAAGTTTGTCACATGGGTAGGATTTCTCTCAGGTATGAATTTTCTTATGTTTATTCAGGTGTGAGAACCGTTTAAAGGCTTTGTCACAATCTTTACATTTGTAGGGTTTATCTACAGTATGAATTTTCTTATGTTGACTCAGGAGTGAGAACTGTTTAAAGGCTTTGTCACATTCCTTGCATTTGTAGGGTTTAGCTGTGCTATGAATTTTTTTATGTTGACTCCGATCTGTGGACCGTCTAAAGGCTTTGCCACATTCTTCACATTTGTAGGGTTTCTCTCCAGTATGAATTTTTTTATGTTCATTCAGGACCCTGGACCGTCCAAAGGCTTTGCCACATTCATCACATTTGTAGGGCTTCTCTCCAGTATGAACTTTCTTATGTTCATTCAGTTTTGAGGACTGTCTAAAGGATTTGCCACATTCTTCACATGTGTAGGGTTTCTCTCCAGTATGAATTCTCTTATGTTTAGTAAGGGTTGTGGACCTATTAAAGGCTTTGCCACATTCTTCACATTTGTAGGGTTTCTCTCCAGTATGAATTCTCTTATGTTTGGCAAAGTTTGAAGATGAGGTAAAGATTTTCCTGCATTCTTCACACGTGATGGGTTTCTCTCCAGCATGAACTCTCTTATGTTTAGTAAGGGTTGTGAACCTATTAAAGGCTTTGCCACATTCTTCACATTTATAGGGTTTCTCTCCAGTATGAATTATTTTATGCTTAGCAAAGTGTGAGGATGTGGTAAAGATGCTGCCACATTCTTCACAAGTAAAAGGTTTCTCTCCAGTATGAATTCTCTTATGTTCATTAAATATTAAAGACCATTTAAAGGCTTTGCCACATTCTTCACATGTGTAGGGTTTCTCTCCAGCATGAATTACCTTATGTTGAGTTAGGTGTGAAAACTTAGGAAAAGATTTGCCACATTCTTTACATTTAAATTGTTTCTCTCCAGTATGTCTTGTCTTACGTTTGTTTGATTTTGAAAATTTACTAACAACTTTGATGTTTGCTTTACACTGAAATATTTTGCTCTGGGTAGTTGACAAGCATTCATTAAATTCATTGTAACCTCCTTTCTGCAACTTACAGTCATTCAAACTTTTACAGCCTTTTCTTAATTGTAAATTCTCATGTCTACATTTCTCATATCTTCTCAGTATAAGATTGTGGAATGAATCTTCTATGCCCTGCACTGGCCAACGGTCTTGGGTGAAATGAGAACGCACAGCTGAAAGGAATAAAAATTACAAATTATCCCACTTAGTATATTCATATAAATATACTTTGTAAATCTTATGAAATTATTCAAACTACATTAGTTAGATAGCATAACAAAATCCCACAGGCCATAATTTCTTTACAGACATATACATGTAGCAAACATGTACTAAAAAAGATGCCTTTCTGTGAAACCTATAAATGAGTTAATTGTATGCAATGCCTCAGGTAAGCAAAATGCCAAGAGCCACATTGAACAGGAAGGAATGTTTGCTACATTTACCCACCAACAGCTCTTCCTCCTCCCCAATAGCACTATGCCATTAGGAATGAAGTATCAACTCCTGGCTTCTTCCTTTAAAGAGAAGAAAAATACTGATACAGATATCCTTACTTCTGGCTTTTGGGTGTCTTTACAGAGCCTGGTTTTTGTCTCCAATACCACAGAGTGCTGAAATGGTGGTATACTTTGGGAGGACAGATTGGGTCTGCTGAAACCAAATGTAAATGTTTCAGGAGCAGACTGCCATGCTAAATACAGGCAAGAGGTGGAACAAGTGATTAGAGACTGTGTTTTTTTTGTTTTGTTTTTAGAGACAGAGTCTCGCTCTGTCACCCAGGCTGGAGTGCGTTAGTGTGATCTCGGCTCACTGCAACCTCCGCCTCCCAGGTTCACGCCATTCTCCTGCCTCAGCCTCCCGAATAGCTGGGACTACAGGTGCCCGCCATCATGCCCGGCTAATTTTTTGTATTTTTAGTGGAGACGGGGTTTCACTGTGTTAGCCAGGAAGGTCTCGATCTTGTGACCTCGTGATCCGCTGGCCTCGGCCTCCCAAAATGCTGAGATTACAGGCGTGAGCCACTGCGCCCCGGCCCTAGAGACTGTTAAGAAGGAACATGAACAAACACTTTTAACTGAAAAGTAAACACAAAATTCCAGAGAAGACACATCGTTAGAAGATGTATGAGAGGTTACCATAATCTCCTTCAAGGACAATTGGTTTCAGACCATGTCAAGAAAAACCTACAT